GCAGGAACCAAGGGGACCAGAAGGAGGTGTCCCTGCTGGGTACAAGGGAGGGACGGAAGCCAAATAGTACATTCTCTAGTTGGCTGTTGGGCAATTCTGAACCTACCTAGGAACCAAGAGCGTGAGGTCCTTTGTCAGCCTCGACAATAACAGGAACTAGGAAATTGAAAAAGAAAAAAAAAATCTTAACTACTCTGCAACTCCCTTACCTCCCCTGTCCCCACCATACATAATCCCAGGACAGGGGACATGGTGGTGTCAGAATGTGACACCTGGATTTATGCAGCATGCCTGCTCTGGAACACACATGGGGCAGTGAGAAATCGGGGTGGAGTGGAGGTGGACAGGCATTTGCTGGAGTGTAATAATCTCTAGTTGGAAACCTGTTGACCTATCATCTCCTTATCACAGAGTTGCATGCAGAGCCCTGGGGGCAGTTCTCTTGCCTCCTCCCCTTTCTTCTTGCTTTGCTGAAGTGCGCAACTCCAGGAGGTGACTCTGGAGTGTCCAAGGGACCCAGGAGCCTCGGAGCTACTAAAAAGTCAGGATTGAGCTCAAAGTCTTTCACACAGACCAGAGAGAGGAAATATACCTTCAGAGCACAGGGTGCCCATGAGAGCCAGTGCTGAAGGTGATGGGTGTGACTGTGTGCCCGAGACTGTGTGTCCGTCATGGAGGGCAGTCTATTAAAACACTTTCCAGGGCTGGGATTGTGGCTCAACATCAGAGGGCCCGTCTAGCATGTGTGAGGCCCTGGGTTTGATCCTCAGCACCACATGAAAATAAATAAATAAAATAAAGATATTGTGTCTAACTAAAGAATAAATATTAAAAATAAAATAAACACTTTCTATGTCAGAGGTTACACAAGGCCTGTGTGCTTAGCACTGCACCCAGCATCTCTGGATCTCATTTTCTGTGTCTGCTCTTGTGAAGGACTTGGTGGTGAGGATAGCACCACCCACCCTGCCACAGGTCTGGATTTGTCCAGCTGTCCATACAAAACAAGGGGACCTGGAAGTCCTGGGTTAGTGTTCTGCTCTGTACTGGTGAGATCCATGACCTCTATCAGATAATCTAAGAATGGACTTCCTTGTCTGTGAAGTGAGGACACTCATCGTGCTCTGTTAACTTTATAGGGTTGTTGTTAGGATTAAAGAAAATAATGGACATGAAAAGGCCTTACATGCTATAAAATTTCATAGGAATGCAAACCATTTGTTTTATCATCTTTGCTTGGGTGGGAGTATTTGAAATTGAAGACTCGAGGAAATTGCTTTCTGATAGAGACATTCAGACTCTGCTAATTACTAGTTGAGCCATCTTGGGCAAATTAGTCCACCTCTCTGAGCCTCAGCTTCCTTGTCTACAAAATGATCACGGTAATAGTCACTTGACCTTGGACAAGTTAATTCACCCTGCTCTGGCCCGTAGTTGCCTGTCTGGAAAGCAAGGATAACAACAGCTGACTTGCAGGCTCCTGAGAATTAGAAGAGACAGGTGTATGGGGCACCTGGCCCATGACCAATGTACAGTAATCGTCTCTGTTCCTTTCCCTCAGTCTTCTTTATGCAGTTTTTCCTGTCTTGGAGACCTTTCAGTGACCAGCTTACCCTCCCTCCAGGGGACCAGAGAAAAATCCAATCTCAGCCTGTCGCCACCTTCGCAGGGTAAGTTCCATCTTCCATCCCATTGGCCTTGCCCCCTTCCCTCCTGAGAGACTGTGCATCTGTAGTTCCCTTATTCACTGTTGACTAGAGTAGGACATAAATAATGTCTCTGACATTTCCCAAAACAAGGCTCTCTAACCAGGCCAAAGATACCCCAGATGGCCTGATCTGCAAGCTTCAGCTCATCCCTGGAAGCTCCTCTCAAATGCCATCTTTTCCCTTTTCTTTCCTCTGCATCTCATCCCACCCAGCTGGGGCTCCTTCCTGCCCACTGGGAGTGCAAGGTGTCCTAAGGCAGTAAGAGTCTTCCTTCACTTACCTCTTTTCCTCGCTCAGAGTCTCCAAGGAAGAGGGTAACCCACACTGAATTCTTCTTTCTCCCCATGAGAGCACTTGGCAGAGTTTGTGTTGAACAATGTTTTGTGAAGAGTGAGCTGTGCCAAGGAAATTGCAAGTCATTGAGTAGCTGTCTTTCCTTTCTGGGGCCCCAAGGGCAAAAGTAGGTCAGTGTGTGAGAAGGGGCCCCTGAAGGTGACAGGGAAAGGGAAGGTGGCAGGAAAGTGTGTGTGTGTGCGTGCACACACGTCAGTATGGATTGGGGGGTGTTGTTCAATTCTCAGCCGACACGCAGAGAATGGCTGGCCATCTGCTCTTGAAAGATTTATTGTCCTGAGAAGGTGGGTAGGGAGCCGCAGCTGGGATGAGGAGGGCGGGGTGTATGCAGCAAAGGCACCTGTGTCCCAGCCACTGTCCCACTCCTGAACTGAACTCACCCATCCCAGGAGCCTGTGCCCCAGGGAGGGAGTGGTCACTGACTGGAGGCCTAAAGGGGCTAGAACAATGGTCACAAAGCCTTGGAATTGTCTCCTTCCTGCCACCAGGCTTGCTCATGGAGGGAGAGGGAAGAGCAGAGACAGGGATCTCCTTGTGGGGAAGAGAAGAATAATTGGGACCAATGTGCTGCTGCCCTCTCTGTTCATGGTTTAGATGGGAGAGCAGCGGGAAAGTCAGGGCCCGGGCTCCAGGACTCCCTGGGAGAAGGAGCTGGCCATTCACTGGGGTTAATGCTCTTTGACCCAGGAACTCAAGAGAGGCTACATGGACTAGGCCAGGGTCACCTTCATGAAGCCATGGCTCTTTCTCTTGTCTTGTTATCCCAGAACTGGAGGGCTGAGGGATAGCAGAGGCAATGGGAACCCAGAGAGGGAGCTGGGGGCAGGCTAAGACATTGCAGTAATTCCTACATCAGGAAAACTTCAGTGACTGCAGGCTTCCATATCTTGTCACAGCCACGTCAGGTAGACTAGTGAGGAATTATCATCATCAGCTGTCTGAGCCCAAGTTCCCTCAGCTAATCTCATGTGCAGGGATGGGGACTGAGGTTGGGTTTGCATGTGCACTCATCACCTCCAAAGGGCCTTGTTCCCCAGAGAACCCTGCCCCCAGAAATGAGAAACAAGGAGACCTCAGGTTTTCAGGAACCTGGGGTAGTCACTCGCAGAAGAAGCCCACGATGGTGATCCGGGGTTGGACGTGGGTGGTCATGGTGCTGGGGAAGAGCTTTGTGCTGGCCCCCTTTGTTGACTTCAGGCTTGGTCAGGAAGTGGCAGGAACTATAGGAGGAAGGAGAGGAGAGAGCTTTGTGGCTAGAGAGTGGACCTTAGGGAACATCAAGCAGCAAGCACCCTCTCAGAATACCTGGCCCAGCAAAGGTAAGAGCGGACACACACGCTGCCTTTGCCCAGCTGCAGCCTTGCACAAACACCTGCTCCCTCGGGCCCAAGTGGCTCTAATTGCCGCCTCCTCAATCCTAGGGATGACAAAGAAGAGGGAGAAGTAGAAAGAAGGTGTGTCCAGCCCTTCCCCAGGTGGCTCCTGCTTGGCTGTCATCCCAGGCAGGAAAAGGGGACCACACTTCCCCAAGCTCTCCCAGCAGTGTGGCACTAGTGACGTGGTCAAAACATGTCTTTCCCTGCACATTTCTCAACTTTTTTCATTAACCTTTAAGGAATAAGTGGCATGGCTCAGAGAGGTAAATGACCCTTGGCCCCACATCAAGGTGTTTTCTCAGCTTCTCACTGAGTGATCTTAGTGGTGGCAAGGGGCCACCATTTGCCCTTCTTTGCCAACTCCATTTCTCTGCCCAGTCTTGGCTGAGTTCCCCAGCCCTTCCTTCTCTGGGTCTCTTCTTCCTCCACTTCTCCATCTCCCTCAGCTCCAGGACCCAATACCTTATCCTGTCTTTCTTCAGATATAGCACAAGGGGCAGGACGCTGGCCTCTGGCCTTCCCCAAGGCTGCCGGCAGAGCCACTTCTCAGAGGCAATGCAATCCTCCTCACCAGAACTCAGAACCTCATCAAGAACATTCTTTGCAAACCTCTGGGAGGGGATACCTTGTCCAGCCTGGTGACACCTGTGGGAACTTCCCTGCTTCTAGCCTATGAGGCATGCGGGAGCCAGAATGTTCTGCATTCTATTCTGAAGAATCCAGTGGAACTGCAGCAAGAGGGGAGAATGGTGACCATCTGGGGTATCTGAAGAATCCCTGGTACAGAAACAGCAGGATTTCTTTTGCTCTACTTCTGTCCCTGTCTCTGGAGCTTCATCAAGCAGGAGGGCAGGACAAGAACACCTGCTCTTTGGTCTAACCCTTCACACATGGCCCACTTACCATGTCTGGCCTGCAGTACAGATGTCTGTGCATGTTTTCTCTTCCCTTCTCACTTGGGCCTCTGAGGGCAGGTGTGGAGTCTTGTAGATCTCAGTGCCACACAGAGGGTGCCACACAGTAGCAGGTGCAGGGAGGTCTGTCCCAGAGCTCTGCTGCTGGGGCCGCCTCCCTTTTCCTCTCCCTCCTGATATTCCTCATGGTTCTTTGTCCTTCACCTTTTCCTTCCTTCCGAAGCTCCCTTTCCCCGGCCCATGTATAATTAAGCTGGAAAAATGTCCCACTAATTGCATTTGCATTGGTTTTATCTTTTCCAAGTGTTTCTACTCATTGTTCATCTTTAAGTATTACAACTCCCCTCAAAGTCAGTTATTTTTTTAACACCTTTAAGAAGTAAGAAAGCCAGGCACAGTGGGGCAGGCCTGTAACCCCAGTGACTCTGGAGGTTGAGGCAGGAGAGTTGTAAGTTCAAAGCCAGCCTCAGCAACTTAGCGAAGCCCTAAGCAACTTAGCAAGACCTTTTTCAAAATAAAGAATAAAAAGGGGTGGGATATAGCTCAATAACAAAGTGCCTCTAGGTTCAATCTCCAGTATCGGGGGGGGGGGGGAGTGAGGGTGGCCAGTGAGAACTTAAACTAAAAACAGGTCAATCATTCATAGATTCAGTTAATGAATATTTATTTCACAATACCAGGAATTATGCCAGGTTCTGGGAAAACAATAGCAAGTAGGATGGGCACCATCTTTGCCTTTGTGATGTGCGTAGTTTACTAAGGAAAATAGATATTTAAACAAGTAAGTGGAATAGTGTAGGGTGCATAATATAAAAAAAAATTATTAGACAGGAAACAGCAGGTGGTCTCTAACTTAATCTAGGGGGACAGAGACTACCCCTCCTCTTCCAGATGGTACGTGCACACGTGGGCACACACACATACACACACACACACCCCAAAGGTCTTATCTTTAAGTTGACACCAAAGGATGAGTAAAAAGTTACAAAGATGGAAGGGAGAATAGTACAGAGAGGTAGGAAGGTCCATAAATCACAAAGATGAGGAGGAAGCAAACTTACTCTTCAGGAACTGAGAGGAATTCATCTTGGTGACACACAGCACAGGAAGAGAAAGAAGGCTGGAGAGGTTGCTAGGTGTCAGCACTTCCCAAAGACCATAGTGTAAGGCAGGGGCTGCTTCATACCAAGTCATTCTGGCTGTACTGGGAACTCCAGACTGGGGAAGACCAACACTGTATGCAACCTGAGCAGTTGGGAATGTTCTCCTATGATGTGGGAGGGAGATGATGGTGGCCCGTTTTACAAAGAAGCAGAAAAAAAAAAAGGAAACTTTTAAATGTTATGTCAGTACAGAATAGTCTTTAAAAATTCATTAAATGAGAAAAGTAAAAACTGTTTTTCTAATAGACTATCCCATGATGTTATTTTTAAGAAAATATGTACACACCTGTGCTTGGGCACACTTAAAGTATTTTTGGAAAGATAAATAACAAACTTTTAATAGTGAATATCCCTGAGGGAAACAGCCAAGGGGCTGAGGCAGAGACAGTAAAGTTTACTTTTCTGTCTAATCAAAATTATTATTTCTCAAAGCAGATGTTTTAAGGAATAGAATTTCCACAAGATGAGATGTGCTGGATATGAGAATTGAGACAGAAATACTGAGGATGATGCCCAAGATACTGGTTTGGGCAACTTTGCCTATTGTGCTGCTGCCTATTTGGTTGAGAACACTGGTGGAGGAGCAGGTTTGGTGAGGAGGAAACGCTGTTCAGTTTGGGACATGTTGAGTTCAAGAGGTCTATAAAATATCCAAGTGGAGCGGTCCAATAGCTGGCGTCGAAGCTGTTCATGCCTGGAGCTCAGGAGACAGATCTGAACCAAAGATAGGCACTTGTGAGACATGAGCTTACATGTAGTAATCTATGGAGGGAGGTGGCACTGCCCAGGTGATAGAGGAAACAGAGTCTTGTGGACCAGAGACATTTAAGGAAATGAAGACAAGCAGCCAGAGGGGTAGGAACATGGGAAGTGGCAGATAGTCAACTGTAATCTGAATGCTGCAGAGAGTTGAAGCAAAACCAGGATGGCTCCATGAGTTGGTCCCAGGAAGATAGCCCAGACCAGGGTAGAACCAGTAGCATGGAAAAGACCAGGTCAAAGCACAGTGGGTTGAGGAATCAGTGGAAGACCAGCAGACAATGAGACAAATCTTAAGAAGTTTTTCCTTAAACAGAAAGTAGAAATCATAGGTAGCTGAAAGTAATGTGGGGTGGAGAGAGTGTGCTTAAGAATGCAGCATGTTTATCTACTGATGAGCTAGTGGAGGAGAAGCTGGAGATACATAAATAGGAAGAGTGAGAGCAGACAGCGCTGGGCACAGGTGTCTGAAAATGCAGAGAGAAATGGATCTGAAGCACAGATGAGAGTTCAGTTTTCCGGAGGCTTGGAAGTGCTTCCACTTGAAGGAGAACAGAGGAATCACCATGGCTCAGCACTTTTAAACACCATGCCCAGTAGGTCCCGTGGGTGTGAGAGTGTTTGTGAACTTTGGTGTGAGCCCTCACTGTTGGGGAGTGCAACTTGGCACTTATGTATCTGAATGAATCTGGCTATGGTTTCACAAATGCCACTTACCTCTTTACTATTCCAGACTACAGTTCTTTTTAAAGTTGTAATGTTTTTTTTGGTAGAAGCAATGACAGGACTGAGATGAGATGTAAGGGCTGGGGACAAGAGGGACATTATATAGGAGCTCCTGTAACCTGGACACCTGGTTCCAAATTTCCCTCCTGGCAGAGATGACAGCCTTTTATTCTTGTTGTTCAATTCACAACTCAGCACAGGGGCAAAGGGAGATGGGTGTGGAGCCAGGCAGTTTCAGGATACAAAGCAGGAGCCTTTGCCTCCAGGCTCAAGGATGATTAGCTGCAAATGAGCCACCTGAAGGATAGAGCAGGGAGCGTCTGGCAGAAGAAGTGATTGGGCCATTCAAACAGAGAAAGTCAATATTCACCACCCCTATGTGATTCTGCAACCTGTATACTCAGAAACATGAGAAATTATATCCCATCTGATTCAAATGTATGATATGTCAAGATCACTGTACTGTCATGTGTAACTAGGTAAAACAAATTAAAGAAAAACAAACATACACACACCAGGAGAGAAATTAGATAAGGCAACTTAACAACAACCATAAAAACAAAAAAACCCATTTCGAAATGAGGCAAAGACACTGAATAGACATTTTCCCAATGATATACAAATGTCCCATAAATAAATACATGTCAATATGTTCAATATCCTTAGTACTTAGGGAAAGGCAAATTAAAACTACAATGAGATACCATTTCACTCTCATTAGGAGGAAATGTCAAATGTGAAGACCACGGTGGAAAACAGTATGGCAGATTCTCAAAATAGTAAGCATAGAATTGTCATGTGACCTAACAATTCCATTTCTAGGTATATGCCCCAAAGAATTGAAAGCAGGGACTTGAACAGATATGTATACACTCATTTTCATAGCAGCATTATTTACAATAACCAAAAGTAGAAATAAGTGAATATTTATAGATACATGAAGAGATAAAATGTGGGATGTGTGTGCATATACACAACAAAATATCATTCCACCTTAACAAGAAATGGAATTCTGATACCTGCTTCAGCATGGATGAACCTTGAGAATATTATACTAACTGAAGATAGAGTGATACGATAGGACTTAACTGCATGATTCCATTTATATGAGGTACCTAGAGTAGTCAAAGTCATGGACACCAAGTAAAACATCAATTATTAGAAACAGGGGTAGGAAATGGAAGGGAGTTGTTATTTAGTGGGCTTATCATCTATGATGATGATAAACTTCTGCAAAATGATGAAACTTTGTACAATGATGTGAATGTAGTCCCTGAAACTGAAATGTACATCTAAAAAATAATTAAAATAGTGAATTTTAGATTACATGTACTTAGCCACAATAAGAGAAAATTTAGAGAACGCAAGGATATGGAAGCTTTCTTCTTGTAGCTTCATAGCTGGGGTTTGGTTGCTAGGTGGGAGAGAGTCCAGCAGGGAGACAGGAAAAGAAGAAAGGTCACTGTTCTACGCCAAGCCTAGCTCTTCCCCTATGGAGCTATGTGGAGCTGGGCAGGCCGCACTGCTTGCTACTCTCTGAAGACTGCCTGGGGCAGAAGAGAGATGGTCCAGATATCAATCTGGCCTCCCTATCTCATGTCTCTAGTTGCCAAGTCCAACTTTGCTCAGAAAGATACCCGCCATTTTCAGGACGTGAGACTTCCAAGAACCCATGAGATACATGGGACAGTCGATGACCATCGCCCACCTGCATAGATGCTGATGTGATGGGTGAAATATGGTATGGCCCTTTAGAAACTGTTCCATCTACACCTTCTCGTGACTAACAGGCATGAAAGCTAGACGCTTGCATCAGCAGGCATCTCCTTCTCTGTCCCCACCCAGGCCCCCCTGGAGTCAGGTCAAGAGTCAGGGAATCCTCATCAAAAATGGTAGACCTCCTCTCCATCCCCCTCACCAAGGTCCAGTCCAAGATTCAAGTGTGCCAGGGTGTTACGACGAAGGATCTCCCAGCCCCGGTGGCTGTTGCTGCTTTGAGATGTGGTCCTGGACAGGGACGGAGTTTGAAGAACCAGAGAGGCTCTGGCTAGAGTTCCAACCTCAGTCACAGAGGGCTGTTTCTCAGACAGCTGCTCCTGTCCATCCTCCTTGTCTGAGCATTTGAAAGCTTCCACATAACGGAGCACTCGCAAAGGATTCTGGTCATGATGGTTCTCGACCCTGTTGAGAGAAAAGCAGAAAGGAGTCACCTGAGGTGGGAAGAGGCTGTGGGGAGAAGGAGAGGTGAACGTGGAGGAAGCAGGATCACAGGGGAAGAAAAGGAGGGGACCAGAGCTGAAGCAGGAAGAGCCTCTAGGATCAAGAGAGGGGAAGGGGACTGGAGTGCAATGGAGGGGTCGAGCAATCAGCCTTTAGAGGGCCATGGGACATGGGTGATGGCAGTATAGAATGGAGTCAGTTAACAGATACAGGGTCACAGGGTGGAGAATACAGAGTTCAGGAAACCCCCGGTAGAGAGGAGAGCCAGGTAAGGAGATAAGGGTAGAGCATGAAGGAGGAAGCAGCACTCAAGGCCAGAGTATACTGGAAATGCTGGTCAGGCAGGAACAGACCATGAGCCGGGCAATCGCTGCTCACATCCGAGCCTTTCACACACACAGCCTGCCATTACCATCAGCATTCCCTAAGCCCCCGCCTGTACTCCATCTCCCTCCCCAAGACAGGCTAACACAGTCTCATGACGTCTCCTGGTGGCCCTTGCTTCTAAGGCTGATCAGCCTTTCACTCACCGCAGGAACCAGCGGTCCCCCAGGCCATACTCGCACCCGCAGATCCCTGAGCGAGGCCACAGGAAGCGAGGCATCTTTCTCTCCAGCATCACGGTGGTGGCCACGACCTGAAAGGAGGGGAGAGGCAGAGAAAGAGCTCAGAAAGAGCTGTGAGGTTCAGAGGGGCACGGAGACCACCCACAAAGGGAGTCAAAAGCAATGTGTGAAATGAGGACGCCAGAGATCAGCAGTAAGAGCTACCATTATTTTCTTGGAGCCTGTGACAAGACCATGCTAGCCTGCTTTTCTCATAGGAAAAGGAGAAAGGATGTTCTTTGTTTTGAATAAAACAGTGACTCCTACATTATTATTCAGATTCAGGGAAAATGAGTCATTCCAAAGTAATCTCATTTTTTTTTCCATAGGAAAGTCACAGACCAATGATCTTGATTTAAATAAAATGATTAAATAAAATCTTTCTGATCTCAGGGATGAACTGATGATGCTCCAGTTCAAGGAATTTCAGCAACTTAAACATCCATACCTGAAGAGGGAAAAGGATTGATTAATGACTTCTCACTTGGCAGGGAAATTTCTAGTAGCGTGTCCCAGGTTCTGTCCTTTGCCCAGCCCTCATTAACTACCTAGATGAAACATAGGACAATCTTATCAAATATGCCTGTGACACAAAACTGGGAGGGATACGTAATATGTGGGGTGACAAAAGCAATATAAAATGACCTCACCAAACCAGAATGCTGCTCTAAAACCAATAACATTGAAAAAAAAAATGTGAGGTCCTACATTTACATGTAAGGAACTTAGCTGAGTAAATCATGTGGAAAAAATTCAGATTCTAGTAGATCATAAACTTAGAAAGAGGCAGTTACATACATGCTAAAAGATCTGACCTGATTTTAGGTGCTTTTGGTAATAGTATTACATCCAAAGTAAGAAAAGGCATGATCTCTCTCAGCACTGCTCCAATCATATCAGGGACTGGACAATTCTAATTTCAAAAGGACCGTGGTCTATTATCACAGGAACAGAGTGCAGTCACAATGGGTCAGGGCCAGGTAGCATTATTGATTGAAGGAGCTAGCAGTCCTTAATACAGCCAACTGTCCACGTCACCCTCTCCCATTTCCGGACTTTTTTATTACTCCACACTTCCCTTGGGTTCATAGTTGAGTCAATCTCAGGACTTCTAATCATTCTGTTCTCTTCTCTGGATAGGTCTTTTCTTCCGCAAAAAGGATACATATATGTAACTGTCTCTTTCTAAGTTTATGATCTACTAGAATCTGAATTTTTTTCACATGATTTACTCAGCTATTATTCAGCCTCCCTTTGTTTTCTGGTAACAGAACCCATCCTTCATTTAGAGAATGGATCCTTCACCTCTCTCAGCCCATTGGTTAGAATAAGCAGGATTACCAAGTCCCTGGAAATCATCTCCTCCATTATGGGGCTTGAGGTGAGGGCTCCTTACCTCCACACTAGCACCACCAGCAAGGTCATAACTTTATGTTAAATTCAGAAATGGGTCTATGAGACCCAAACTTTTTGCAAGGATGTGAATCTTAGGCTGATTTTTCTGGGGTCAAAGATGCTCTTTCCAAGCCAACAGCACTATACGATGTTGACAGAACGCAACAAGAACAGGTCTTATGATTATGCACTAAAGGAACCTGCTCTTTCCCTCAGAGCTTAGAACTTCTTTAAGTCATCAGGACAACATGGCAGGAGAACCTGACTTAGAAGAAAGTCAGAATAAGAGAGAGCAGAACAAGGGACTGACAGAATATGTGAGATGGAGACTGGGTTCTGACCAGCCACCCCCAAAGGATCAACATACCCTCCTCCTCCTACTTAAAAACAAGTCTGTTTGAGTTTTGTTTTCTGTTCCTGTTGTCATGGGTCCTCACTGCTACAATCCCTGACCCCTATCCTCTCCACCATTGTTCTCAATGGATTCTTGCCCATCTTTAGGTCTCATCTTAAATGTCACTGCCTCAGGAAAACATTCCCTAACTTTCCAGTCAGATTCCTGGGTTGCCTCCTCTTCTGAGCACCTGGTATTCTCCATGGCACTTTTATTGCTGTAAGTTTGCAACCTTCTATGGAGTCATTTGCTTGATGTCTGTCTTTCTAACTAGACTGGCAGCCCCATGAGGTCACAGGTTACAGCTGTCATGTTGTTGCATGTGTTCCAGCTCCTAGAAATTTCCCAATAAAGAGCAGGCCCTAAAGGATTATCATGACCAAAATGAAAAGTTTGAGGAGTAAATTGGAAGATGACTCTATTCAAATAATTGACTAGTGGCATAAAAAAATGTATTCCCTATTGTATGAGGGGAAAAAGTTTAGGGCCAGAGAATGAAAATTATAAAAAGACAAGTTTCAGCTCAACGCAATATGGACATTTTTAATAATTTGGGAAAACTCCCCTCCTCCTACCCCCTATCCAAACATATAAGATAATAAGGTCTTGATTAGCATTAAGAAGATGTTGAAGGACTCTGACCAATAAATAATTATGCTGAGTAGTAGGTGAGTACTTCTTAGAGGTCTCCTGAGGGTAACTTCCAACTCTACTACTTATTGTCTTATGGTGACACAAGAAAAGATCATGGAAAACTGGGATTTATAGAATCTAAGAGAACATAAGGTCCAAATATAAAAACTAGAATATACTAGCACAGTTTCTGGTTCCCAGCAGATCCAAGAAGGACTCCTAGATCTACTTTTCACCCATGATCAACAGCCCCACCTCTTGCCTCTACCCTCCACTTTATCCTGCTTCTGTCCCCTCTATCTATCCACATGTACCTCAGATTTACATATCACTGAGATGGCAGCTTCACTGGGTTGTCCTGTGACTCTTCTGGGAACGGTCCACCATAACATCTCACTTTGATTTTTCTCTCCATCCCCCGTCCCTTAGCAAGAATCACACTGATAAACTCACCTGGGCCCTCCAGAGCTCGTCACGCTCCTGAGCCACTCTCCAGTGGGTGTCGCCCATCATGGCGATGAACAAGTTGAGCATGAGCAGTGTGGCGATGATGGCGAAGGCAGCATAGGTGAGGTTGTACATGAAGGGCAGATCTACGCTGTAGTTGGCAGGGCCATCGATGATGGTAAGGAACAGCTCAAAGGTGCTGAACAGTGCCGTGGGGTAGTCAGAGAATTCCCCCAGGTTGGCTGGGTCCTCTGTCTGGAAAATGATACAGAACGCTGCTCCGCCCAGAAAGAATGGAATTATCACAATAAGCATGGGCCAAGTTAGTATTCACTCTACCTCTGATATATACATCTCCATATACATACACACGTCCACACAATCATGCATCCACAAATGTGAAACTGTGAAACTGGCCAACTCCAAGAGGTCCTATGACTAAGTTCACCATGCTGGGTGATGATAATACTCAGGCATTAAGAAAAAAAAATGTATGGACATGTATGGCATAATGTCACTTGTTTCTTAACTTTTAGAAAGCCAAACATTTACAAGATAAGTTGTTTAAAAGAATGCGTGGATTATGCAACAATTTTTAAAAATGGAGCACATAAAAAGGCTAAAAGAAGAAAACCTTTTATCTTGATGGCCTTTAGATAACTATCCATCACCCTGAGACTCCCTAGGTGAGCCTGGACGCTCATGGGAAGGCTATTGTTGCTCTCTGTGTGGCCTGCTGGACGGTAATGGGCATCCTTGGACCTGATCTCAGCATTAGACCCTTTAAATGGCTTCTCCGTGTGGGAAATTGAAACATCAACAAGGTGGCTCCAAGAGCAGAAACAGGGTCCATGACAGAGAACATCTTCCTTATTTAATAAAAAAATTAAGTACAATGGCCAAGAAGTGATCATTTAGGGAATGTGGGGTCTAGGACATTGTAGGAAGCAACTCTGTTACCTTTGCCCTGTTTTGTAACCTGTGTATGAGTAGACCCAGGTGAGGAAGGGAGAAGGCTTCGAAGAGGGGTATCAGAGGGTGCAGGGGAGTAGAACATTCTAGATAGACTGCCAGCTCTACCCTTTCATGCTTTACATCTTGGAGTGCTTTTTTTTTTTTTTTGGTTTTTGTTTTTGTTTTTCCATCTTTGTTTTCGTGGGAATCCCTATTGAACAGGGAAATTTCTGGGAATAGTAAAGAATCTGTGTAAGGAGTCATGATCTTTTAGAGTTGGTGGTCTTCAAAGCTCTTCTGATACACCTGCCTGTCTAATCAAGGACAGAGTCAGAGTTCCTGGCCTTAGGATCTTTATCTTGTCAGCGCCAAGAACTCTCTTGTACTCCTTCCTGTTCCTTCCCCCGCCCACTGCTCTTCCTGCCATTTTTCCTTCCCTTGCTCTCTTTTTTCTCTCTCCCTGGCACCCTCCACTAAGCCTTGACTGAAACCCTGCTTGTCCCATATCTCTCGGTCTCTCTTCGCCACTCTTCTTTTTCTGTTTTCTCTACCATGATTTAAAATGTCCAGACTCTCTTGTATATCTCTTTGTTCTAATTCTTTCCTTTTATCTCAACTTTAAAGACCACCTATAGAACGAGAGCACACTGTCTTCTTGAATGCTTTGTTTCTTCTTCTGAACTGTAAGGAAAGAAGAGTTAAACACTGCCTTGTTTCTCTTTGTCCACACAGTTTTCTGGGATCCACAACTGGCCCGTCTTTCCTGTTTAAGGTCCGTCTCTCTCCAAAAGCCCTCTCCAGCTGAAGGTCTCACAGGGCAGTTAGTCAACACAAATGTGATTGGTCCAGGCCACATGAGTCTACCTTCTTGGCCAGCCTAAGTGGTCCTGATCTCATGGACAACAAAAGAGAGTGCAGAAGAGAGCTGACAGCGAGAGTGAGGGTGAACTTTCTGAAGATCTGGACCCAATGATCCACTGGAAGAAGGAGTAACACACTCACCAGAGGCAAATCCCAGGATGACCATGGCCATCAGCCAACAGAAACGCATCAGGTCCCCAAAAATCATCTGCATGAAACAGAGAAGAGGAAGAAAGGTGGACTGATCCTTTCTCCACTGTATCTGAGCCATTATTACTAACAGATCAGGAGGCCCCCAGAGTTCCACCAGCTCCAGTCAGAGCAGAAGTTCCTTTTTTGCACCTGTCCCCAACCCTCAGTCTGCAAACGTCCTCTGACTGAGCCAGAAGAAGGCTTCAGAAAGCACTGACCTTCTGGATCATGATGGTGAAGGGACCCAGCATCTGGAATCCTCGAGCAAAGTACATGACACTGCACCAGCCCAGCACCAGGGCCAAGGATATGGGTACCACCTCTCCGTTCATGTTGGTGAGCCGCATCACCATGGTCACCAGCACCAGGGAGGCATAGGTGATGCTAGAAGAAGAGCAGGAAACAGAGAGTGAGGGTGGTCTGGGAATATTCTATATCCCCACAGCATGGTGGTGACTCGGGTGGTACCCACACACTCAGGCTTAGTTTTAACACATAAAACACACCTACACACATAGATATAAGTCCACTGGAGAGAAACACCTGAGTGAGGGTCACCTAAGGTCTATATCCCAGAGAGTGCACTGGAGACCTGGAACAATTTTAAGTGTAGGCAGGGGCTAAAAGGAGGAGACACTCACATGATGACATGGAAGGGCCCCCCGAGGATTGTCTGTCCAAAATAGCGAGAGGCACCAACTCTGAAAATGTCTGGGATCTGGGGGAGGCCAGTAAAACAAAGAGACAATGTAGACTGCAGTTCAGCCTGGGGCCTCAGGTGGATGGCCTTAGCCTGGACCCCCCTGCACCTCACCTCTAGAAGCAGGATAATCACAGCCCCGATGACGGTCACCAGCTCCCCCACCAGCCGGATGTGATCCTGGTAAGTCACATAGGCCTCCTATGGAGGGAAATTCAGGACTAGGAAGGCTTTCTGATGGGTGGAGAGTCGAATCCTTTCAAGTGAGTGGTCTAAAGATTCCAACGTTTATCCAAGATGAAGAAAAGCCATCCATCATCCCCCTGTCAATCATCCCCAGTATAGTACCAATGTGGCTAAATCCAACCAGGACAGGAGTCTATATGTTCAAGGTTTATTTAAAAAACTAAATGCTAATGACTTGACCTATCATTGGATATCACCTCTTCTATATATGTTGTAAGCAGTAATTTATGATTTGTGTATGAGCAACTGGGAACATATTTGAGATACACAAGTTAATAGGACTGAATTAATAAATAAGAAGAGATCTTTACATTTACACACTGTGGGTAGGATTGTAAATTACTAAAACCACAATGGAGATTCCTCAAAAGACTAGTTTTGAAAACACCAAATGACCCCGCTATACCACTCCTTGATATTTATCCTAAAGAATTAAAATCATCATACCATAATGATACATGCATACCCATGTTTATAGCAGCACAATTCACAATAGCCAAGTTATAGAACCAGTCTGTTTGTCAACAGATGAATGTGATATATATATATATATATATATATATATATATATATATATATATACATAATGAAGATTTATTCAGACATAAAGAAGAATGAAATCATGTCATTTTCAGGAAAATGGATAGAACTAGAGAACATCATGCTAAGTAAAATAAGCCAGACTCAGAAATCTCTCATAAGTGGAAGCTAGAGAGAAAAGGGAAAAGAAAAGGGATTTCATAAAGATGGAAGGGAGATCTATAGAGCAGAGAGAGCAGAGGAGGGAGGGAATAGGAGAGGGAAGGGAAAGGTACAGGGCACCGATAAAGCAAATTTTTTAAAAAAGAGAGATCTTAGTGGCTTGGGATGGTTTTGACTATGGGAGAAGTCCAGCTTTTCCAATCTCATTATGGCTTGAACTGGGCAGAATACACTGTAAGCCTATCTCAGAATGCAGGTTCTAGTATGGGCCCAGAAACTACCATTTCCAATGAGACCTTGAACAAGTCATTGAAGATCTCTGAGCCTGAGGAGTCCTCAACCAGAAGATGGAGATTCTACTGCTTACCTTGCAGAGTTATTGTGAAGATCACACTATACGATATATTTGGATGGACTTCACAAACCATAATGGACCATTGAAACATTCATCATGGTTTTATTATTATTTGTCAACACATAATAGGGGTAGAAATTGGGCTAGAAATGCTGTATGGATTTTAGTTCTTAGGAAGGGTCCCTGTCTATCCTGAGCAGAAGATGTAGAAGGCATAGTCCTGGGGTCAGGGTGGAGTGAAGACCATGCATGTTACCTCCAGTGGAAGTTCTGCAACATCATACAGAAGCAGGGATTAAATCCCACATTAAACATCTTTAACGTGTTTAAAGCCACGACCCCACCTAAGTATATAAAAAGGACTATGGAGCCTCTTTCAGAGAAATACATTCAGGTGCAGACAATTATGCAATGAATTCCAAAATATTAAGGCAACTTTTTGGCCATAAAAGGGTTCACTGTTGTTGTTCATTGGCTTGTTTTGTCCTCAGTCCTAGCAACTGTCTTTGAACTCCCTCTCCTCTCTCCTAAAATTCAGTTCATGGACTTTAATATTTTGTTTTATCTTAATGTTTCTAAAGCATGTCTTTTTATTGTAAAACATGTCAACTCCTTTTCAGACTCGTGGTAGGAGAAAAATAATAAATATATTAACTTTAGAAACTACATTAAATATAGACATAAGCCAGGCATGCTGGTGCCCCTGTGATCCCAGCTACTCAGGAGGCTGAAGCAGGAGGATCACAAGTTCTAGGCCAGCCTGAGCAATTTAACAAGACTGTCTCAAAGTAAAATGAAAGGGGCTGGGAATGTTGCTCACAGGAAGTCCTGGGTTCCGTGCCCCAAACTGCAAAAACAAAAACCAAAAACCCTGCATTATTTTATATATGTGTTTGCACAACAAAGTTTAATTTCTTTTAAAATGTTGTATCTTTGTTGAGTATGTCAGGGTAAACGCCTGTTTTTGTATCTTGTCACAACTAAGAGAAGGAACTGTGCTCAGGTTCACCTGAAGAGCTGTGAAGATCAGAGCACCCCTAGCGGCCAGAAAAGGAATGGCACCAGCTATGATGATCTCAGGAGATGAAAACCATGAAACCTCAACCAACAGAGAACATTGGGGACAGTGGGGTCCTGCTGGGGCTTCCCCTCACCAGCTCCTCTTTGCTTATTTCACAGATTCCTTCACACGGAGGCGTTTCCTGGCACAAATTCAACAGTGAGGAGGCCAAGGAACAGAAACCGCTCGCTTTGCCCAGCCCCACCTGGGATCCACGGCCCTGGAGTGGCTGCCTGCACCTTCTGTCCCCAGGGCCCTAGGCCGCAGGTACCAGGTCGGCTGAGAACCCCCTTCCTTGCTCATCTTCTGGACCAGTACACAGACATTTATATAGGGTCCTGTTTGCTTTTTTTTAACTGTTCTCTTTGGGCAAGGAAAAAAAAAAAAAAAACCACAACTTGGTATATGTGTGAAAGTTGCCATAAAAATAATACTATTGGACTTTTAAAACATTTTGACTTTTGATTTTAAGGGGAACTCTAGAGTTTCATTTGATAGGTTATGTTGGTTCATGTTTAGAATAAGTACTCTTTGTGTTGTTTAGAATATTTTAGTGTTTCAAAAATGGAAAGGAGCATCAAATTTCAATGATGGATTTTTTGATGTTGCTTGAAACAATAATAAGGATTCCTCTTTAAGAAACCACCTGGTCCCCCTAGAATTAAGCCCTAAACTCAAACAAATAATGACTTCCTTTTAGTTTCTAGAATTTTATTCTTTGGGGATTGTATTCAGGATTTTCTAAGATGAAAGGCTAATTAATCCATAGCTTTCTGGATTTTTAGTCCTCATACCCAGGTTTTGGGATCAAGTTCAAGGTTATGTTTAGCAAAGTAAATTATCAGGAACACTCATCCCCAAGTTCCAATTCAGTCTCCCAATTTTTCTTTCTTCATGTTCTCTGAATTAACAGAACCAACCCTTTAGTCAAACCCATGGCATCTATCATCTTGTTTATCTGCATCCACTTGCCCCACCAAGCTTCTGGAATGATCTTTCTAAACACAAAAGTCATGAATATTATCATATGGCTTCTCTATTTAATGCCTTTTCTTGCTACCCAAAGCCTTCAAAATAAAAGTGTAGGCAAGAGATCAGTGTTCCTTACTTTCATATGACAGTAGGAATTTTGATAGTGTCTGAATTTGATTGATAAATGGAGAAAGATGCATATTACTTCAATGACATGGAGATAAGGACAAGAATGGAGAGCTGAAGCAAGTAAAGCCTGGACGTGCCCAGGAATGAGAGGTGGTGGGGAGAAGGACCAGTGCAGGACACAGTTGCTTTTCATCAGATATGTCACTTGATCTTAAATCACATGTATGTACTCTTTTAGTTAGAAATGTTGATTGTGAGATAAACCCCAGATTATCAAGCATTTATGTCCCCATGCTCTGAGCTACTGGGGACTTGGTTGTTGAGTCAAGCCTTCCATCAAGGATGGGCCCTTTCTGTAGAACACCTTCTGCCCCCTGTTAGCCTGTCTCACCCTTCCTGATGCTCCAAGACTAAGGTCAGCCCAGCATTCCTCTTGACTCTCATTTCCTGTCCCTCTGTGTCCAGATCAGGTGTCTCTTCTGCAGACACCTGGTGCTGCTCTGTGTTCACGGCCCTCACCCAGCACATTGAAGGTGTCTGGGTACCCCTTGTCTCTCCAGGGAGCAGGGATGTCTCCTGCTTTTTACCACAATGCCCACCATGATGGCAGGTATTGATTTAGTAAGAAAAGAAAGAAGGAAGGTGAGAAAGGAGAGGGGGAAATGGTAGATTCAAGCTGAGCATTACCTAAAGGGAGACAAAGAAGGAATGGAGAAGTGGAAATGGGGACACCCAACTGGGAATGAAAGGAGAAAAAGATGACAATTGGGCTTTTCTGAGATTTCCAAAGTCCTCTGCTCAAAGTCCCTTAGGCAAGCCTGACTAATAATGCACTAAGAAAATACTCCACACCACTCCTTTAAAAATAAATATCTTCCAACAATGTCTGGAATTTTTTCACATCACTACATGTCTTAGAATTTTAGGGGTTGTCAACAACCAAATCCCCTGCAGAGTTTGGCCCTTCCTACTTCACTGAGAAACTGCTCCAACGAGATTGTTCTTGCTTGGCAGATGCCTGAACTCTTTGCCTTCAAGGAAATGCCCAGAGGCAGGCAGGCAGAACAGAGCCTGGGGCTCCACTGAGTTGAAAGAGCTGGGTATGTGTCCTGCAGGAAAGTGTGGAGAGCATCCCCTGCCCCAATAGAAAGTGGGAGGGCACCAGAACCACTTGTCAACCCCAATCTGGATCTTACTTTGTCTCCCCCAAATCCCAGACTTGTAAATAAATGAAGCTACCAGCAGGGCCTTGCAAGCTCTCAATGAAAGTTACTCTGATTCTCTAAATGGGGCAGGTCTCCTAAATACAGCTGCCCATTAGAACTAAATGGCAAGTCTTTGTCACAACATACACACAAAGGCCAAGCCTGGGTTAGTTTGGATCAACATGTTGTTGTTTGTTTTTCTAAAAAAAAAAAAAATCTTGGTAGATTTTTAATATGTATTCTAATCTGTATTCCAAGGTGAGAATTTCTGGGCCTGGGCCATAAGAGAGGAAGATGTGGTTCCCTTGAAAGGCCACCTTCAAAGAGACACTGCATTTTCTCAGGAAGATGGATCTTGGAAAATTTTACTCTCTTCCGAGAAGCCATATGTAACTGTGGCTGCTCCTTTGCCATTGTCCTTTGCCAGGTTACATATCCTCACTTTACCCTTTCAAGTCTTTAATTTCTCCCTTTGCCTGGCATTCTAAGTTCTAAAGAGGTCATACCTAAATGAGAGAACAGGCAGTAGCTCGATCTCTGGGGGTAGGAGTTATTACATATCTTATCTATCCATCAATCCATGTCCCTCTCATCTTAAGAGGGAAAGATTAGATGTGGCACATAAATGCGAGTGTGGTGTCCCCTGGTGAGCTCAAAGCACGATGAAGGTGAATTTCTTATAGATTGGGTCCCTAAGAAAGAAGACTGGGATTGAGCTTATGGTTCTGGAGAGACAAGTGCCCTCTCTTGGTATTTAGAGGTGAAGGTTCTCAAATGAAGCACTCTGCACCCCAACCCCTACATTGCCCTTGTCAGCTAAGTGTCTTTGCCTGAGTGCTTGATCTCTTCTGACCTCAGAGCCACCATTGTTAAAATGGTGACAATTTTATTTGTTAATGGTATGAAATGATATAATGCTTTGCTGTGGTCTACAGAGTCACATCAACTTCATGGGCAGCTTGTCAGAAATGCAGTTTCTCAGGTACCACCCAGCCTCACTGCCAGAATCTGCGCTTTAACAAGTTCTTGAAGGTGCTGACCCGTGCATGTAATGTGCACACAGTAAGCACTTAGTAGATGTCATTTTTTTTCTCCTGGGTTTCCTGTTTCTCCCCATCCCTTCCTCAGTCTTTATCTGCTGTGCTTGTTCCACAGGGTGTTGGTTAGAACTCCTGAACCAACTAGGACAGAGTTGGAGATCAATTGGGTTTTCAAATAGCTATGGTGCTTTGGGTTGTCCAGAATTCATGAGGAATAATGAGGTGTACACAAATCATCCCACTGTTTACAACAGGTAAAAGATGATTTCAAACGGATAGAACAACACATGTCATTCCTGCCCCATCTGCTCCCTCACTCTCTGCATCCAATCTGTCACCAGGGAGTGATGCTTTCACCTTCTGATGCTTTTAACAATCTTCCCTGATGTCACTCCTTCCCCCCACCTCCCATCACACCTCTGTACCAATCTGCCATTGTCTCTGGATTGCTAAACTGTAGTGGATACTTACTAGTCTTTCCACATCCTCTCTAGTTCCCTCGACTCAACAGAGAACACTCTAGCATGCAAGGAGTCATTTAAAAAAAAAAAAACTGCTCAAGTTCTTATCCTGTTTAAAATCCTTCTGAACATCTCATTGCTTTGGAGATAAAGGATAAAATCCCCAATATATCCTGTAGCACCCTGTGTAATTTGGAAAGGACCATTTCATCTGGAGGCACCTACCCTGGTTCCCTGGGTTCTAGCTAAACTTTTAGTTCCTAGACCTTAAGGAGGGTCTTCCTGCCTTGGGGTTTTTGGATAAGCATTCCTTCTGCCTAAAATATTCTTTTCACCACCAATTTCAGCTCAGAGACAAGCCTTCTTCAAAGACCCTCTCTGGCTTCCTGGAAGGACCAGGGCCCTGTTATAAGCCCTCTTTGCACCGTGTCCTTTTTATACCATGGAACAAAATAATGTTAATCAGTTTTGTAATGAGATAGCTATTCATACTCTCATTTAATTAATATGCATCAGTCTTTAAGCTATCAGACCAAAACACTGTCTACTTCGTGTTTTGCTCAAACTGTGAGTATTGAATTTCTAACACCTAGAATAGTGTTTAGCAATAATTATTTGTTTAATGAATGAATCAGTGAAATGTTTCTAGGAAAGGAAAAGGCAAAGAAGAGCTTGAAGGAATCTTTTCTAAGAGAGAAAAAGGAGATATGGCGATGTAAAATTAATACCCTCAAGCTGAACAGTGCACTTTAGAATCTAAATGCTCAGATGGTAGCCCTAAGACTAGCCAACTGAAACTGAGCAAATCTCAAAGACAGAATCTGTGAGTTCTCAACTCTGGTTGAACATTAGGGTCACCCTGAGTTTCTTAAAAACACCAAAGCCAGAGCCTCAGCTCGGACATTCTGATTTACTGGGTTGTAGCATAAGAACAGGTCTTCTTTACCAGCCTCCCAAGTTTCTAATATATAGTCTTGGTTAAAAATCACGTATCTAACAGGAGGTAGGATTTGCCTGAGGTCAAACAACTATTTAATTTCAGATTTAGAACTAAAATCCAAACCACCTAGCTCACCGACTAGGGAACCTAAAAGAACTAGTTCTATAGTGCTTGCTGCTCTGCCTAAGCCAGGTAGAAATTTGAGTGCAGGAGGAAAGTAATTCTAATTAATAGAGCTCTTGGGAGACCCTGAGGAAGCTGGACGATGAAGCATCTTAAGAGTCCTTAAGATATACCCCAAATTGGATAGAAATGAACTAATCCCATCCTTACATGATTCAACTTTTGTATAGTTTCATGAAAATTAAGAGCTTGTTTTTCTCAATTTCAAATGTCTTGAGGTGATGCTCTTGGGTGGCTGTCATAAAATCTAGAAGTTAAGCTACAAAGGATCTTAAAGTTCATAGAGCCCAATGTTTTCTTAGACCCCAAAAGATCCACAGAGAAAATGCTAGAGTGACTGAGAGCCAAGGGCTTCTAGGCTTATTAATAAACTTGGCTATTAGAGTATTCATTTATCTAAGCTAAAGATCCATAAACTAGCTAATCAGTGACAGCTGCAATCATAAAGATTCTATACTGTCCACTTTAATATTTCTAAAACTTTCAAGTAACCAAAAAGTAGAAGAAAAGAAAAAAAAAAGAGAATTTCTTATTATTTAACAAAGTGCAAAATTTGCTTTCAGCAGCACTGGGAAAGCAGAATCTTTCAAGTCATGGTGATATGTTTGGGAGCCCGGATCTAATCCAGATTGGTTTACCATTTGAGTAAGAGCAGTACAAACATTCCATCGACTCAGGGACAAGGCTAAGGGCTAACACCACAGACTAGGGACCTTTGGCTGTTATTTCTTTCTAACCCCCTCACAGCTGCACTCTTAACCCTCTTGCCCCTCTCCTGCACTGAGAAAGAACATTTAGAACTCAAAGAGACTTCCTTATAGATCAAGGTGGCTTTGACCCAGGGCAAAAACACTAAGAAGAAAGAAGGAAAGAATAGGAGAGAAGAAGGATGGTAGGGGTACTTAGCCTTAATCATGCCTCTCCTAGTCCTGAGGCAAAGCTAGGGGACCTGATAAGTGTGATTTAACTATCTGGGAACATGTTCCTATCTAATTAGTCCTGCCCCAAGAGAAGCAGACACACGGAAGAAGACACTGGTGGTTAATTGCTCAACATCTCCCAACTCCTAGAGCAGAACACTATCTACACTGAAAACTCATGAAGATTCCAAGAAATCTGAGACAAAGGAAGGCTGGGAAGGAGCACATATGAAGAAATAGGGCCAGAAGCTAGAGGAAAGTCTAGGCACGCTCGATTTGTTTATGTTTATACATTCTCTTCATTCCTAGGCACTCCCCATTCTACCTGACTATCTCCTAAATGTCCTTATTGGCTTTATGGGCTCTCCACACCAGAGACAACCTCCTTGCCTGGAGTGATGTTCATGGAACACAAACTCACAGGGGCTCTCGATACAGGAATATTTCTCTCTCTCTCTCTCTCTCTCTCTCTCTCTCTCCCCTACCCCTTCCCCTGGGGGGGGGAAATATAACTCCTATAAATGAATGATGAGGCATCTTAGAGTCAAGGTATTCTCAAAATTGGATACAGATAAACTAACTCCATCCTTACAAGTCAGCTTTTGTGTAGTTTGAGCTACACATATAATTAGGGTAGTGAATGCTAGAAATTGAAAGAGATGGAGTGCCTACTTAGTTTGGGGTTCTTTCCCCTGTTTTTCTCTGTGCATACTATTGTCTTTGGTGTAACCCAACTCAGAGTTTTTGCTTCTTGACCGTAAGAAGTTTTTCTTCTCTTTCTCACCTAACCTACCCCTTTTCCTAGTAGTCCATGCTGAGCTCTTCCTATGGCTGGTCTATCCCTCATAGACCATAGATCTCCAGTCACCCAGCTCTTACTTATCTTGCAAAATTCTTCTTCCATTTCTGTTCCTTTATTCCTATATGCCTGACCTCTTTCTGCTATTTTTAGCTCACCAGGACAAAAATTTTAGTAATCCATGGATCAATCCCAAATGTAGTTGTACTAGGTTGAATTTTACATGTTTAAAAGTACTATTTTGAATTTACTCCCTCTATTACATCCAAAAGACAGTTTGTTTTCCCCAGCTACAGAGTTTTGTGTCTACACACCTCTATTCAGCCCTTCTCACCCTCCCAGTTCTCAGGAACATTATAGAAGGCAGGCCTGTGACCTCAGAGACCATTTACTGCAATCTGCTTGTCCAAGCATGTCAGAAATTAGGAAGAGGCAGATCCACAAGGTCCTCAACTAGAAGTCAGACAGCTGACCCATTATTGCCAATGAGCTTATATTGATAGTGTCCAGAAGAGAAAGCAGGCCAGAAGTGCTGACCCTACCAGAACAGAAAATAACACAGATGTGACTTGGAGTACAATCTTCCTTCTTTAGAAGAGGTTTCCTTGAATATCCCACTACCAAAAAGCTGGTCCTCTTTGTAAAGTGCAAAAAGTTTCACAAATGCATGAGGTTACTAATATGAAGGGCTCTCTCAATGTTGTTGCAAAAGAGTCCATAAATCCCTAGGCAATTACTCTTTCGCTCATTAAATTCCATCTGATTCCTTTATCTTATGCCTAATTGCTACCATGGTGATTTGCAGCCTGCAACTTCTAGAACCCAAGGGTGGTATCTTTCCTGGATAGCATCAGTCTTGTCTCCAGCATCATTACCCCATGTTACTATTCCCTTTTATCTCTTCCAATAAAATCACCTGTAGTAGTTTCTGTTGGAAGATGATGTTATCTCGAGGATTTGTTCGGTTGCCAACACGGAACTTGAGGGGGCGATAGACACAACATGTGGTGAAGCATATCATATAGAGAATGTACAAGGCACCCAGGATACAGAAGTATGGCTGCCCATATTTCTTCCACTTGAAGCTCACCAGCTCCTTCACTGGGGTCTGTTCCAAGATCTGGCGAGCCTGCCATGGAAGGAAAGTAGCTTGGGGTGACCAACATTTTGAGGTTATTGAGTTCCCACTGGGTCCCAGAAGTGAAGGACAGTAACCATCATTATCATCATTCATTTAGTTAGTCATTTCCTTGAGGGATAACTAGTTCATTTCTACTATATGCTAGGTTTGTGCTAATACTATAGGTATACTATTAAGAAGCAAAAACAAGGCACCATAGCACCACTGTAGCTTTAACAGCTGAAGAGTAGTTTACTGAATGAAGGAGAGTTAGGAAGGATCATTCCATGAAGTGGCAGCAGGCACCAGGGCAGGAGGGGGTGAGAAGGCATTATCCATTTGCAGGTGAGGTGTGGTTGGGAATATGGGAGAACCTGTTGGGATTGGTGGACAAAAGATATAATGTGCAAGGTAAATATACGCCATATCATTGTGTATTGTGTGTGAAGTCTGAATACAATGGAAAGCAAGTGGAAAGTCTAAGCAAGGATATAGTCCAGTTTACTCTGGAAGTACTGTTAGACTCAAGAAAAGCAGTACAGCAGGCTGTAGAATGTGCCAGAAATCTAAGTGTGATGGGACTGTGCTCTAGAGAGGGTGAAGAACGGGATGAAGCATGTCAGAAATTAGGAAGAGGCAGATCCAAGGCAAAGCTGAAGGGATTAACCATTAGCAGAATTTTTTTTTTTAATACCACTGAAGCTGGAGGGAAAGAGAGAGACAGAGTGCTTGGCAGTTCAGAGCAGAAAGTTTAAGGATCCCCACCCAGAGTGGCTAAGGTTTGTCACAGGTAGGAGTCTTGTTCTTTGCTGGAACTAAGGGTGAAGGTAGCAAGAATATGAAAAGGGAATAGCTGGAAGGTGTTAGGGAAGGGGAAGGTATCAGACCCACAAGAGACTGTTGAGAACCAGCTGATATCAAAAACTAAACAAGCATGGTGGCCAAGTCCACACAGAGGGACTGGACATCTAATTCCTAAGAAAACCTGCTCAAAGCTTATCCATCTCCAGGCTGATTCCTTGAGGAGGGTCACAAAAACTGACCACTCAGCCTTCCTCCCATCATTCATGTTTCCATCATCCATCACAACTGTCCATGTTTTGTGACTCTACAAAGGCTCCTAGGAAATTGTCATGTAGCAGATAAACAATGGAAACTATAGCTTGCCAATATCTTGGAGGTTCCCGAACGCCAGCAGCATTTTCTTCTTCCTTGTATAGACTTCCACAAATTTTCCTTTCCTTCATGTTATTCAATCTTGGACTGTCTCAATGATCTATGCTTTGTCCCCTCTCTTTTGACTTATCTTCCTGATGACTCCCAACTCCCCGTCGAAGACCTAGGAGGAGCACTTCCTCTGTGACACTTTCTTTGGCCATCCAGACCAAGTTGACTACACCTCCACGTTGCCGCCCCGGTACATAGCACACGCCCATATAATGGTACATCTTGTGCTCTATTGCAATTATTGAGGATAGGGATCAGAATTGAGGAATTTGGCTGACAGGAAACGTGTTTTCTCTCTTTCTGTATTCTCAGTTCCTGGGTAGTGTCTGGAACCCAGAAGGTGCTCATTGTGCTGAAGGGAAAAAGGAAGAAAGGAAGGGAGGGAGGGAAGGAAGAGCTTCCTTCTGGAGAACTCCTCATCTGAAATGGTAGAATGGAACAGGTAAGATGAAGGAACTAGAGCCAAGCAGAGGGAAAACAACCTCAGGAGATTAGTGTTGGCTGGTCTTTCCCCCAGGTCCCAGGAAACTGTTCTCATCTTGGCCTGTTGTAAGTTCCCTGGATCCTAAATCCCAGAAAATGGGCAGGTACTGTGTGGACACAGTGCTCTCTGACCTTTCTTGAGCTCCATACCTCCCGCTTCTTGGAGGAGACCACAAGTTCTAGAAAGGACAGCTCCTCTCCCCAGGAGTCAATCTCTGTGAGGTCGTAGAGAGTGGATGTCAGGGGTCCATATGTCCATTGGATGTGCTTCCGCCTCTGCATCAGGTGCTGGAACATCTGAAAGATACAGGGATGAACAGGAGAGTCAATGTGTGAGAAGTTGGTCTGAGACAAAACGCCTGTGGAGCAGGCCAGTTGCTTACTCTCCACAGATAGTGCAGAATTGGCCATCTTCTGTTTACATGAATCTCCTTCCTTCCTTCCTCCCCACTCCCTCCATTCCCCCCCCCACCCCTTTCTTTCTTTCCCATAAAGCTCTATAAGAGGAAATGAGATGAAGGGAGTAGGATTTGAGAATACTATGGAAAATATTTTAAGATGAAAGTCTCAAATGCCACTAAGAGGGAACCTGAGGTTGAACATTGTGGTGATGAGGTAGAAAGTAAGGGACTGCCTCCTTTGGGAGGAGCTTGGAGAGAAGGGTCACTAGAGAGGCACCTTAGGGCTGGGGAGCCTCTCACCACAGTGTTGCCCTCTACTCCAGCCAGCTTGAAGGGGGTGAGGCCCTGGTGATTGGGCACGAGCTCCAGGGGCTGCAGGTGGTCCCCTCCATCATAGGACAGCAGCAGGTTGTACATCTGGCAGGCAAAGGTTTTGTTGGGCTGCAGGATGAGGATGTGCAGCACTGTGTTTCCTGGGGAGGACACGGGCTGGCATGTGGACACAGGTCTAAAGGCCTTGGTGGTCCCATTCCCCGCCCTGGGTCCTCCCTCACACCCCCAGGCACATCCCAGCACCCCCTCCCATCTCAGCTCTTACCCAGAGAATCCTGGGCCCGAATGTCAGCTCCGTGCTCAATGAGCAGCCGCACAATCTCCTCGCTGCCCACGCAGGCAGCAAAGGACAAAGGGTGCTCCCCTGGGGACATAGAGAGATCCATGGCAGGAGACCATAGGGTCACGAGCTGAGGGGGCAGTTTCTCCCAGGTGACTGCCTGCTTGCTCCTCCCACATCTCAGCTCAGGGCATGGGGCACTTGTCCAGCAGAACCAGAGGAAGGACACTGAAGAGGGTCCCGGGAATTGGCCTCTGGCCTTAAGTCCTGTAAGGGCTGCCCTTCTGCTTCCCCACAGATGGAGCTGAGGGCAAGGCCCTGCTTAGCCCAGCTCTTGGCCTCGACCTGGCTGTCCACCTGCCCTTCCTCCCAGCCTGGCCCTGCCCTCACCATAGTAGATGAGGTTGTGGGGACTGCGTTGGAAGGCGGTGCCTGTGGCTCTGGCAGAGACGCTGGCCCCGTGGGCAAGCAGGGCGCGCACCAGGTTCACGTTCTGGTTCATGACAGCGATGTGCAGGGCAGTCTGACCTGGCCCAGAGAGAACCATCAGTCACAAGTCCATCTCCCTCAGGTCTCTCAGGGACACAACACCCAGCCGAATCCCCAGCAAGAGTCTCTGCCAGTTCCTCATGTAGACTACAACCATGGCTGCACAGAGTGGCCAGAAACTGCACAGAGTGGCTAGTTACTCCCTCAGGCTGCCCAACTCATTGTCCCTACCCCTCCACTACTGGAGGCAGGTGAGGAGGACTTGATGTAAATAAAACCACTGTGGCTGCTATGAAAGGGGCAGAGAGAGATGTCGTCAGGGATCCTGACAGGATTGAGATGCAAAACGGCTAAAGGAATCCATGGATACTCAAAGCAAAGGCTGGGATTTAGGTATTTCTCCCAATTCATGGGTGTCATGCTTCTCGGCCCTCCAGTACTTCCTCAAAGCCACCCTTCAGAAGCCCATTTCAAGAGGTAACAGCCAACCATCCCATGCCTGTCTCTACCTGGAATTACCACGCAGCCTCCTCACCTAAAAAAGGCTCACACACAGTGGGCTCCTGGACCAGGTCTGGGGCGGCCTCCATCAGCACCATGGCGGCCTCCAGGTTGTCATAGAGGGCCGCTACGTGCAGTGCCGTCTCCCCCAGGGCTCCTGGAGTGGAATGAGACAAGAACATCAAATTCCAGCCAGGAGCCCTCCAGGAAGGAGCTCCTGGCTCCAGGGATACCTCCAAAGACCCCACATGCTCAGCAGAGAGAGGGGCCTTCTGCCTACCTCTATCCCATTAAAGTCTGATCTCACCTCTTTGTCGAAAGTCACAATTTTGTTCCAACAGAAGTTTCTTAAGTGTACACAGGTCATTTTCCTTGGCTGCCTGAAGCAGTGGAGACTCCCATATCCTGGAGGAGGATGAACTGGCGTCAGGTAGAAACCATCACAGAGATGCCAGGAGCAGGGGGAACCAGAGACATCCTCTGTCTAAGATGCTCACATCTCCACTTTGCCACCCTTGCATCATCTGCAAGGACTGAAGGAACTAAGGGGACATTAAGGCAAAGTGTGGTCTAAGGGTTTCCCTGGTTCTGGTGCCATCCCTGTCATGAAGATTCCTTGTATACAGGTTTGTGGCTCAGCTGGGGAGGGAGGCTAATAGAAGGGTGCAGTTCCTGAAGGAGGAAGCCTGAGGTCTGGCTATGACATCCCTGCAAAGAGTTCCTGGGACCCTGCTGACTCATCAAAATTGCATAGATGTTTCAGGAAATCAGCAGGTGGATGGAAGGTGCGTTTCCGTGGGGTTCCCCAGGATTTCATGCTTACTGAACCTGCTCTCTGTAGCCAGGGGAGTTTAGAAGCCAAAACAGTGAAGGAGGACAAGACCAACTATTAGGGCTTAGGAACTCTGTGGAAATCCTGAGCTTCTAAAGCTCTGATTACTCCTTTGGGCTGTTTAGATACAACGTCTACTGTGGATGGAGAATTTGGGGAAGGTTATGGGCCAGGTATTCCTCCTGGACTCAAAGCAAGTTGCTCATGACTGAGGAGGAATGAGCACCGGGCCTCTCAGCTCAGAAGCCAGGATGAGACAGTCATCTACACGCCCTCCAAGAGTTCATTGTTGTTTCTGCCCTTGTCTGCTTCTAAAGCCAACAAGAGATAAAGCTGGAGCCTGGCCTGCTAGACAACGTAGCCTTGGCTCCAAAGGCAAACACCGAGTTAGGCAGGATGAGGGTCATCGGGCAGAGCAGAGGAGCTGTTGACCTCATGGCCCCGACCCACGGATTCCTTTCTTCCCATGGCTCCGGGAGCCAGGGGGAAGAAGTTTTCTGGTTAAAGAAGGAGTTCTCTATCCCAGGGAATACCACTGGGAGAGACTTGCAGAGTGAAGGGTCAGCACCTGCCTCTTTCACCCAGGCCCTCAGTCCCAGTGAACTGTGTATCTCTGACCTGTCCAGAGTGGCCAGGGCTGGATTCCAGAGTTCACTCCCTGTCCTAAGGCCACTGTACAAAGCTCTTGTCCCTCCTGACCCTTGGCCCGCTGCTACTCTGCAGAGGGGAGGTCCTGTGACCAGGTCCCTGGGAGACCACTTCTGTCCCACTCTGATGCAGGGGGAGGGGGGATCAAAGGTTCCAGCGTAGGGCGTTGTGGGGGACTGGGGCTGAGTAAGCAGAAGGCCCTGTCAATAGGAGGGTTCAATGTGAAACGCAAATTCAGGACTTCCTCTTCAAAATGATGAACAGTCTCAAGACAGGGACAGCAGGACACTGAACCAAAAACAAGACTCTCCTGATACACAGAGCAGCTTGCTTCAGAGATGGCTGTCTGCTTGCTCCACCCCTCAGCTCCTGAGTGGGAAGGCCCCACTCCCTCCCCCGCAGGCTGGCCTGCAGGATGCATCCCTGCCCCCACCCAGACTGCTTTTCCTGACTCTGGACCTCAGGGAAAAAACGATAGGATGGTCCGCACTAGATAGACCAGCCCTTTCCCGAACAAAAGGTCCCAGGAACGGCACAAGCCCCATTCATTCTCCATGTAGTGGGCACCTGGTGCACCCCCAACACAGTACACACAGTAAAAGGCAGAATTGAAGGCAGGATTCTGCAATGTCACCCTGCTTGTCCTCTTCAGCTGGTCACATCCAAGTGTCACACAAAACTAATCTCTCCTCCCCCTTTTCCAGACAACCGACTTTAATTCCAACTGTAACTTCTTGTTCTGTCTTCCACCAAGTTTTCTCAACAAAAGACCAGTAATATCTGATCCCATCCCCAGCAACCTGCTCCCAACAACCTGATATTGTCTGTCCTCCCCATCCTATATGCTTGGTTTCTTCAATCCAGTTGCATTTAGTCCTCCTTCCAGGAGGCAGGCAGGTTCCTGCCTGGGCTGTCATTCTGCCCCTGCCTTTATATTGACAAAGTCTCCTTAGGTGGCCCAATGCTGCATTCTGCACTACTACCAAGAGGGTCCCGCTGGGGTGCTTTAGTGGGTGGGCTGGAGGGAAGAATATATCCAGGAGGCTGATGCTGAATTCTAGGGTGCAATATCAGGAAAACAGTCCTGTGGGTCAGAGGGTTTGAGAATTGGTGCATTTCACACCAACTCCTTAGAAGCCTACCTCTTCTGCTGCAGCATGTAGACCTGGTCCAGGTGCTGGTCCCAGTCTTGCTCTCCAACCAGCCAGGAGGCCAGAAATTTCTGGAGTTGAATCCAAGGCCCTTTTGCTCCCATGTCTTCTTGCAGGCACTGGCAGGGTGTGAGACTCTGGTGAGAGGAACAAGCTAGGATGGCAGCAGCAACTCAGGAGGCAGGGTCTGCTTAGGACCCTGAGTGAGTGTATTCTCTGCGTGACTTGTGTGTGCAGGTGTGGTTGTGGTGTGTGTGTGTGTGTGTATGTGTGTGTGCACGTGCACTGAGGGACTAGCCAACCTGCCTAGGGAGAGGAGGCTTTCCCTGGAAGGGGCGGAGCTCTTTCCAGAGCTGAGCCTGGGGGCACAGAGCTGCCCTGGAGCAGGGATAGGGGAAGGGGAGGGAACTTCTTGGGTCCTGGCAGTCAGCTGGGTCAGCTGAGACCTGGAGAGGCTGAGGAATGGGGCAGACAAGTTTGGAGAGGGAGCAAGGGCAGTGCCTGGAAGGTGGGTCCCATGAACAAGGTGTGCAGGCTGTGGGTTGCAAGATGTGGGAACTAAAGGCTTCCAGCTCAGGAATCTGGCAGATCCCAGTTTAAGTCCTGCCTCTTACCCCTTAGGGTCAGGTGAGCATTCTTCACCAGGATCTTCTGAATTTTTAAAGTAGGGGAAGCAATTATACTGTAACAAGAAAGTGTATGTAAGGTACCATGTGTCACAAGACCTCACCAGCTCATTCTCCCCCAAAGAACCCAGGGATGGCTTCTCCTCAAAAGCCTGTGGCTCTTGTCTGGACCCTCCTCAAAGGAGGGTGTCTGACTCTCCCCTTTCTCCTCCTCCCCTGCCATTTTCCTGAGCCCAGCCTGAGCATGACTCTCAGGTACAAATCCCAGGAAACCCCCAGAGGTCTATGCTCCAAGGGGAGTTGAACAGCAAGAGCCTAGTAAAGTGTAGGACAGGGAAATTTTAAGACTCATTCCAGGAACAAGGCTGTAGGAGGAATGGACACGGATAAGTTGAGGTTATATTACTTTATTGTGTGACAGCTTGTGCTTAATGTTCTGATTGTTCTCAAAAAGGCATATCAATGCCATTGAGTTGTAGTCATTCTGTGAGGTCAAGGGGAATAGGGCACAAGTTCTCTGTTTTCTGAATGAAGGACAGAGCACAGAGGAGAAGTGAGGTTCCCCCAAACCCCAGGGCTGGAGGCAAGACTGGACCTGGCTCTGAATTGGGGATTTTGGCTCCCAGTGAGTTCCTCTCCAGATCTTGTTGCTTCTTGGGAGTCTTTTGTCCATAAAGATGTGAGAGACTTGGGTGGGGTATGTTGGGACCCTCCTCTTGGGGATCCTCTGGAACCAAGAACTGCCTTCCTCGTTTGCTGTGCTCCAGAGAGTAAGGGATGGATAAAATAACCTCTAGAGAAGGACAAGAATTGAAAGGAAAATAAAGCAAGAAAGGAAGAGGAGGTGTCCCAGACGGGGAGGTGTTCTCACCCAGGGAGTGGGGAGGGGTCACCTTGTGGGACATTTTTCTGCCTTCCCGAGGGTTGGGGCAGTGTGGGTGGTAATGATCACTGAAGCCTGGGGACTTCCAGTCTAAGGAGATGGAGGGAGTGATAAGGTTGAAGTGGGGGTTGTAGATGCGCTGATAAGCAGGGGGGCAGGCCAGGAATGGAGCACTTGCCAAGGAAACACTCAACCCATAAAGCTAATCCTGCAGGGGGTGGGGGTAGGGAGGAGCTGGCAGTGGAGGAGGCTGGCCCGGTCAGAGCTGCACAGAGCAGGTACCGGGGCTTACCACTAAGGGCATCAGCTGTAAGTCTGGGAAGGAGGAACGAGGGCCCCATGTTCAAGTCCCCACTCCTGGGTCTTCAGTGTCTCCCCTGTCCCTTGCTGCTGCCTACACTGTTGTCTTTAATGGGAAGAGCATAAACAAGTACTCTGGATGGAGACCATACTGTCTGCCTGTCCCAGCTGGTAGAGGGGAGATTTGACTCTCTTTTGATCTCCTCTTGTCTCCCGCCACTCCTCATCTTGGCAATAGTCTGCATTGCCATTCTGTCTTCCTCTGTCCTGCGCCAGCTTTCTGTGGACAAGCACACCCCCAATTCAGAAAGCGGCTTCCCCAGCCAGGACACCTCAGAGTCTAATGCCACCAGGTGCCTGGGAGAGGAGCTGGGCTGGGGAGCTTCGCCCCATCAACACATCCCAGAGTGCTCTTACAGAAAAGCAGCAGGGCTTTGTAGACTGACATGCTGAGAAGGAGGAGAAAACATACCTGGGTTTCAAGTTTTAGGAAATGCCCTGTCACCCCAGCTGCCCACAGACAAGCAGGAAACAGATCTGAGTATTACTACATTTTAAAAACATTCAGAGTGAATATCATTCAATGATGGAATGATTAGCCTTTGTGTGTGTGTGTGTGTGTGTGTGTACTTTTCTATACTTTACAAAAAAAAAACAAAAACTTTTTTAATGGATTGTTGGCTTCCTGCAAGGATTTATTTACCTCTTGACACCAGGAGTCAGGCAGGTGGAAGTAATGGTGGTAGGTAAAAACTGGTTCTTTCCACTCCAGCTTGCCCCTCCCACAGCTCCCTTCCCCATTCATATCTACAGAGCTGGAGATGGCTTCTCTTTGTGCCAGGGAATCAACAGCCTCCTCCCCCAAAATAGCCAGGAGGAGATTAGTGATTTTATTTTTTCCGTTCAAGCATTAGTTTTGTGGCTCTGCAGTTCAATGGGTACAAGGAAGGGGTGAGCAGGGTCACTCTCAATCTGACTCTTTCCTCCTTCATCATCAAGTGCCTTTCCAGACCGCTCTCTGGTTCACTGTCATCTGGTTTGGGTCACCAGGAATTATGTCAGAGGTGGTATCTGCTGCACATGGAGCAGCCTCCACCTGAACACATCTGCTAGCCCGGGCAAATCTTGTCACACTTCCCATGTCTGCAGGTCGCTCTTGAACAAGGGGCACATGTTTTTGCATGTGTCCTTGCATCAGCGTGTGCACACTTCATTCGGGCATGGTCTGCATGGGCAGCGCTAGTGGCTGTGATAGCTCCTCCCCCGTCCCGGGCACCCAGCCTGCCTCTCATGGTTTGGCATCAGCTTCTGGTTTTTCCACGAAAGGCCTTCATCCTGTCTCTCCAACCCAGAACCATCCAGGGGGCCAACATGTCTGTGCTCACCAGGTTCATGGGCAGGATGAAAGTGAGCTGCAGAGACACCTGCCCCACTTCATTTCCTCTGCAGAGTAACTCCTTCCGTCAAGTGAAGGGCTTGGAGATGAGCCTGGAAACACTTTCTCTCTGTGTCTTAAAGAAAAGTGTAAAAGAAGAGAAGAGACTCCTAGGTGCCATGGTGCACACCTACAATTCCAGCTACATGAGAGGCTGAGGCAGGAGGATCACAAGCCTGAGGTCAGCCTGGGCACCTTAGTGAGACCTTCGGTGGTTGGTTGGTTGGTTTATTTTTATTTTTGGCTCACAGTTTCAGAGTTTCAGTCCTGGGTCAGCTGGCTCCAAGGCAGAAATGTCATGGCAGTGGCATCCCCCAGACAGCTGCTCAGTTCATGGCAGATGGGAAGAAGAGAGGGTGGTGGGGGAAGGAACAAGAAATTGTCCCCAAGAGCACACCTCCAGTGGTCTGCTTCCTCCAACTGGGTCCCACTTCCTACAATTTCCATCCCCTTCCAATAGTCTATTCAAAATATTAATCCACCAGATGGATTAATTCACTGGTGAGGTTAGAGCCTTCAGATCCAATCATTTTTGAAAGCCCTATCTCTGAACCCTATTGCACTGGGGACCAAGCCTTCAACACATGAGCTTTTGGGAGCCATTCCAGATCCACACCACAACACCCTATCTGAAAAGGTGGAGTGCTGGGGATGTAGCTCAGTGGTGAACCACTTGCCTAGCAAGGTAAGACCCTGGGTTCAATCATACTTGGTACAGAGAGAGAGAGAGACAGAGAGAGAGAAAGAGAGAAGGTTTTTAGCTTCAAGTGGTACAAGAGGACAAAGTCTAGGAAAGGAAAAAAAAAATAGAGGAGAAGGAAGAGGAGATAATGGCTTCTACTCAGGGACAGGAAACTGTTCTGTTTCTGTATCTGTGCATTCTCTGTCTCTGTGTCTCTGTGTCTGTCTGTTGCTCATGCACAGGTTTAGAGCATGAGAATTTTTCCCCTCTCCATCTGCCCCACTCTATTTCACTTTGAACAGACTAGGCTTTCATGCACAGCATGAAGCATGTTCCCAGGATTTTTTTTGCTATGTCTTTGTTGCTGCATCTGGTCTGGGCCTTATCTATTCAAGACACTCTATTTAAAGAAATGCTACATGGACAGCGGAGAGATGTCATGTTCACCTTCAAAAGCTGGAATTGAGAGTCCTGCTCTGCCCATTCATTGGTAACTCTGTGATCTCGAGAAGGAGCTCATTTCTTCTGTGAACCTTGGTTTCCTCATCTATATAATGGGTATGAGAATACTAGTACTTTGGAGTGCCAGTGCCTGTGTGGAACCAATAACATAGTGGATTTGAAAGTACTTTATAAGCTGGGCACAGTGCTCATGCCTGTAATCCTAGCATCTCAGGAGCCTGAAGCAGGAGGATTGCAAGTTCAAAACCAGATTCAGCAATTTAGTAAGGCCCTAAGTAACTTAGCAAGACCCTGTCTCCAAATAAAATAAGTAAATAAATACAAAGAACTGGGGATGTGTCTCAGTGGTTGAGCACCCATGGGTACAAAATAAAAAAGAAAGTACTTTGCAAGCTCTTAAGTCCTTTTTATTGCCATCTCTACAGGATGACCCACTACAGCCATTATAAAAGCCTCTGCCATCCCCGGCTGGCTACCCCTCTCCTCCTGCCTGGCAATGGAATGCACTAGTGAGCTGGAATGAGCATGGGATCCATGGCTGTGATGTCACAGAGCACATGAAGTCAGAGGTCCTATGGAAGAGAAGAGAGGAAATCGATGCAGGGAAAGGGTAAGGACTGGGACAGGGACAGGGAGGCAGGTGGGGGAAGCCTGCTGGGCACTAGGGAGCTGGTGGGCCAGAAGCTGTGGGTGGGCAGGCCCATGACATCTCTGGGCTCCCAGCTCTGCTGGGTAGCATTCCTGACAGCCCTCCTACTGCTGCTGCGGGTGAAGGGGATGAAGTCTCAGAAGGGCAGCGCAGACACGGATGAGGGGAAGCAGAAAGAGAAAATGGCTTCTGCAGGTAGGTGGAGAAGAGAGAGACAAAGTCTGGAGGTAAGGGTTGGGTCTGATTGAGGCCAGGCCTCAGGTAGCTGTTTAGATGAGGGTGAATCTGAGATGGGTTTGGATTCTGGGAGATAGCTCCGTTTCCCTATCATGGTAGAATGTCCTGTCTGGAGCAAGGAGGGTTCCCAGGCAGGGCCCACCTGGGCCAGCTGCAATTGCATGCAGCTTCTGCATGGGTGAGTATGAGTGTCCTGGAGGAGAACCTTGGTTTTCCTCATATTGAAAGATGTCCTTCATTCCCTCAGGATGGTACCACTTTAGAGGAGACAGCTAGCATTAGAGGTGGGGTTTGGGTGTGTGGGATTTGGGGCTGTGGTTGAACCCAGATCAGAAAGGACATCTAGATGAGGAGCACCTCTCTCGTCAAGGCCAAAGAGGTGGCGATTGTGCCAAATCCCCTTGGTCCCCACTTTTCTCTCAGCCAGATCAAGGTGGGGGCAGGTCAGGATCAGGGCCGCCCATCCCTACCCCTCTTCCCTGTTCCAGACCAGAACCAAGAGCAGTTTGAAGAACACTTTCTGGCTTCCTCGGTGGGTGAACTGTGGCAGGTGATGGACATGGCCCAGCAAGAGGAGAACATGACATCGAAGGCAGCAGCTGTCCGAGACCACCTTTTTGATCTAGCCTTCTGCTTTAACATGGCCAGCATCATGGTTTTTTTATAAGAGACATTGAGGCTGAGGTGGTGGCCTGGTTCCTGAATGAAAACCTGAACGTCTGCCTGCGCTTCATAATTGCTCACTGACCTCTTCCCCCCAGTGGGCTTCAGGTCACTACTCCCAAAAAGGACTCAAACACCACTCCCCACCTCTTATCATTGGTACCTAGACTCGGTGCAGCAACAGAGACTGCAGTTGCCATCGCCACTGCCTGATTGCCACCCCACGCCCAGAGTTTCATCTCCCACCGCCAGAGACATCACACCAGACCTACACCCTTCTGTCTCTTACACCTCTCCTAGCTTTGTCCAAAACAGAAGATTAGAGGGAGGAGGCAGTGACAATAAAATAGCAATAAAATCCTGAAAACAATTGGGAGCAGCTTTCTGAGCCCTCACCAAGCCCTTGGGGCTCTGAATGGTCTGTGGAATTGCCAGCCCTTTGGCCCACTGACTGACTGACCTTCAGACCCACCATCTCGCCAGCTCTTTCCTTTTCTACCTACCGTCCTGGGCATGGTTCCCTCTTATCTTTTCTGATTTCTAGGAATAGAACATAGCAGGAAAGAGTCCTTAGGAGACAGGTGGGGACCAAGTGCCACCTTTTATTTGGAGAATAGAAGGAAAAAGAGATGGTGCCCCACTGCCTGGATGGGCCAGGGGCTGCTGATCCACCTGCATTGCTCTGTCTGTGGGTCCATGTTACCAGAGCTGGCAGCGACTGGAGGGATTCATGAGGGCATCACGCGGACAACGAAAATGTCTGGCAAAGGCTGGGGTGTTGCTGAGAGGTCCATGGACTCGAAGTCTGGGAGGGCTGTGAGTGACCTGGGAGTGCTCAGTGCTGGGTTCCCTACACAGGACCTGAGGAAGGGTAAGGAGCAGAGAAACCTTTACTTTTTCTTTCTAGTACTAGGAACTGAACCCAGGGGTGCTATGCCGCGTAGCTACATCCCTAACCCTTTCCATTGTGTTAATTTTGAGACAGAATCTTGCTAAATTTCTGAAGTTGGTCTCAAAAATTGCAGTCCTCCTGCCTCAGCCTCTCATGTCACTAGTATTACGATGTGCCTGACCAGATCAAGTTCTTATAGGTTTATTAGAACAAGGCTGGGATTAAGGGTCACCAGGAGTAGCAGACAAAGAATGGAGCAGGATTCAAATGCTCAAGGGCCATGTAGAGTTCATGTCATTTGTAAGTCATTTAAGCTGGCACTAGGAGAGTAGAGGAGGGCCCAAGCTAAGCAATGACACCATTTGTGAGGACCCCGGAGGCCAAATCTAATAATGAAACAGCTCTGCGAGGGAGCTGGGGACTGTGCCTCTTGGGGAAGCACAGGTGATAAAAGGGGTCATGTCAAACTGGGACCACTCCTGGGGGTGAAGTCTCTGAGGAGGAATGTTAAATATAGTCAGCTTCTGGTAGGGTCATTTTAAGGGGTCTGTATTTCTGGCATATGAGATAAGAAAATGTTGGACTTAACTCATGGAGGGACCTAGAAGTAGAATTTGTTTCTTCTTTTTGAGGAGGGGGGAGGGTTGCTGATTTGGTTGAAGAATTTTTTAGTAATCTGGAGGGTGATGGTAAGGGGACAAGTGACAAAGGATGACAGCAGGGACATCCATGGCAGTGAGTCAGGGGTATTTGAAGAGGGTGTGTCATAGAGAAAATGCCTTTGAGTATTAGTAATAGGGTGCTTATCAGATCTGAAGCAAGCTGAGGAAGGCAGGGCAGCTGCTTACCTGGGCATAGCTTCTGAAGAAGAGCTGGTGGGGGCTGAGGTCCCAGTTGGGCAGCTTGGTCTCCCCACGGTACTCTAGGAGGCTCCTGCTGTATGCCTGGATTGGGGGGATAGGAGGAAGAGTTGGCTTTATGCTTGAGACCATCTGGAAGCTCGATGCCATTCAAGCAGTACCTCAAACAGACTCATGGGCCTTTGTTCCCTGTTCTGAACTAACATATTGGTCTGAGCCAAAAGAAAGAATATTTTCCGGAAGACTGATAGATTTCTTAGAAAGTGGGAGGGGGGAATCTACAGGGAATGAGGTGTGTCCCCAAGTTGCCAACTGATATGTGGAGATATAAAGGGCAGAAAATCATGTAAATATATTTGCATGAGAGAAGGTGGAAGGAAAACTTGAGGACAGTGCCTTTAGTCTGCTGGTGAAAACAGATCATGGCCGTTGACCTACCTGGAACGCAATGGCCAGCGCCCCCACATCTGCGGCATTCTCTAGGAGCGTGCTGGAGCCACTGAAGGAGGTTCCACTGGGCAATGGGAAGGCAGCGTAATGGCGCTCCAAACATAGGAGTGCCTCCTGCAGGGCCCGGGTGTCACAGTCCAGGCAGTCCCCAGGCAGCACTGTTGAAAACAGAGCAAGAACATGAAATGGCAAGGGACGTGGGTTGTGCCACAGAATGTTCTGGCTCCCGGAAACATTGCAAGTTTCTAGGACTGTCCCTCCTGGAGCCCTTGTATAATCCTCCTTTCCCCTGTGGGACTGCTTTGAGGTCTTCCCTTGGGTTCCCTGTGATCCCACATCCCAATGGCCCCTGTTACCCACACAGCTGGTAGAAGATATGCAACAGCTCGCGAGCCATGATGCTGCCAGCAGCGCCAAAGTTCACGGCTCTAGGGATACAAGAGCTTGTCTTACCTCCAGAATCCTTCAACATTTTTTACCCCAGTTCTCCAGCCACGGATCTCATCCATCATAACAACTGTTAATCTCTCCTGGGAAACTCCCTGGCCACGCTCCCAGAATGGCCCTTACCTAGGGTAGTCAGGGTGGAAGAATGGAGGTTGCAGGAGTCCTGCTGGGAAGACCACCTCATGGTCAGGTATTGAATAGGAAGCAGTGACCCCCCAGGGGGACACCTGCCATCTGTGGGGAAAGCACATATGAACGCAGCTCCATCATTAACTGCCCCAAGACACCTACAGTTCCTCCAACTAATATCACTGTTCCCATGGCCTCCTCCAAGTCTCCAGATTCCTTTCCTACTAATCACAGAGGGGGTATCTCAGCGATGGTGCGTCCCTATCTCCTCTGACCCCATACCTGTGGTGAGGGAGAGGCTGCAAGAAGCTCCAGACCTTTCTAGCTTGGAGAGATCGGACACAGCTCAGAAAAGACTGCAGGAAGTTGGGTCCAAGTTGTATCTGGAGAGGAGGCAAGAGGTGACTTGGGCACACAGAGACAAACACTGACGGACATCTATGTATGCCAAGGAGCGCATTAAACCCAAACACACATAATACCCTCATACACAAACATCCATGAGTTAGTGGAGACCACTACTGCTGTGGGTGCAGACACGCTCCACGTGCATCAGCACACAGACATACACAGGAAGTCACAGAAGACATAGGTGTGTGCACACACGCATCACAGCCTGAATAGTTTCTGTTTTTCTGCTGGCAAGACTCAGCCAGCACCAGGGCAAGGAAGTGGGTGGGTAAGAATTGCTCAGGGAACATGGATGATGTGGATAAGACTTGGCTAGGTTAGGGAGGAGAGCTGCAAAAGGCAGACCCACATTGCTGTATTCTTGTCCGGCCAGCTCCGGCTTCAGGGCCCATTCAGGGGCTCCCATCTGCACCTGCAGCTGAGTGATCTGGGGAGAGACATGAAAGGTGGTAAGGACCTCACATTCCCTGAGTGTCTCGGAGCCTTTAATACTGTCCCCAGGCGTGTGTGCAGCACAGTGGCATCTGTACTTCCCACCTGCTTGTGTGCCTTTGGCTCTCTCCCCCTCCACTGCCGTTTGACCTACCCGTAAGCATTCCCACACTGGCCTGCACTCCTGGCCTTACCCTGTTCTGGGCCTCTCTTCGGGTCTTTTGACTTATCCAGGGGAGTCTTTTGAGGTGTGCGACAAGGGCAACTTTGATCTCAGTGAATAACTCCATGGCCTGTGGGGGTGAGGGTGGGGGACAAGGTAACAGAACCAAGATCAGCCTCAGCTCTGGCTCTGCCACAGCACTGACCTTCAGGGGGCCTTGGCTCTGGAGGGTGCCTGCGCCGGAGGAGCTATCAGAGAAGGAAGAAGAGCTCAGAAAGATGAGGGGAAGGCCTTTCCCAGATACTGTAAAGGCAGGGCTAAAAAGGCAGTGCCAAGCACAGAGAGGAAAGTGGGAGCTGGCCACCACTGGTCAACCAGGAAGAGGGAGATCTGAGCTGGGAAAGGCCCTTACAGTTGGAGCCAAGGGAGAAGAGGGCTGCCATCTCCCCCTCTGCTCTCGGGGATCTTGTCCTCCCACCCTCCCTCTCAATGCATGCACTTCCTCTCTTCATCTTTCTGAGCTCTTCAGCTTCCTAACAAGTGGGCCTCTCCCCATCTTCAGGGCCTGAAAGTGTAGTTCCTGTTTTTCAGCCATCCAGCATCTTGCATGCATCCTCTCTTAGGGGAAGAAAATGAGTGACAATATTTGGAAGCCTGGGCTCTGGCATCAGACTGCCTGAGTTCAGTCCTGACTGTGCTATTTGGTAGCTGTGTGACCTTGGTCAAGTCATCTAACCTTTCCATGCCTCAGTTCTTGGACCTATAAAATTAGGATGATACCCAGACTTAAATAAAGTCGCAGGTGAAATACTTGCAAGAGTCCCAGCATGTGACAGACAGTCACCAAGTGTTCTGTAGTTATTTATTTGTACTCCTCAAGGTTACGTCACCTCATGCTCATGTCATGTCCTGTGTTGCTTCTAAAGTCTTCGATAAACAGGGAGGAGCCTTAAAGGTCAGGGAGTTCGATTTTCTCATTTTATGGTTGAAGAAACACAAGACTAAGGAAGCCGGGTGACGTGTCCAAATTAGTGCATGTTATGCCTACTCGTGTTCCGTAGCTGAACTGTGCTCACCCGGGGGGTGGAGGGGCCTCTGGGATCCCCCTGTCCCCCGCACATACTACTGAGAAGCACGCAGTGCATAGGACGGGGCAGGGGGCGCGGCAGGGGACTGCTCTCACATACAGCACTTTGGGTGCCGGGGCCAAATGCCTCACGAACGAACAAGGCCTCCAGGGTGGGTTCGAAGAAAGTGCCTGCTTCCTCCACACATTTCACCCATCGCGGGTGGGCTGGCTGCAGAGACAAAGCTGGAGTGAGTCTAAGGCTCTTTCCTCACCAGTCTTCTCTAGACCTTCACCCCAGAGCCTGCTCTCTCCCCTGGAGTTTCTGATTTATCTCTCTTTATTACCCCCTCTGGCCATACATTCCTACTCAGCATAAAGGGGCTTGGGTCCTCCGCAACTGGTCTTGTGAGCCTGGTTGAGCAAATTGCC